CTACATAAATAATTCCTTATTGGTCTTTGAATCCAGTTTAATAAAATCCAGGGGATGGGGTTCATTAAATTTGTCTTTTGCATTGTCATGCTTCATATTAATCACCACTGCTCAAAGGCTGATTTCCAAGACAGTTCACTGGAAGTTTGGAACCTCAAGTAAAACAAAATCAACTCTAGCCAGAGCCTGTACAAGAGTTATTTTCCAGGGCTTACTGCTAAAGTAAGTGATCATGCAACTGGCTTACCTATGTAAGTAGTATAATGCTTGTTGAATACACTCTGGTCACAGAAATAGCTGCTGAGATCTTCCAGAAGCAGTTCTTTGTACATTACGCTGCTAATTTGAGCAAGTAAGCCTTTGCACAGGCAAGCCCGAGAATAACATCTACATCAGCTGTTCCCTAGTTAAATAGAAAGCTGACTCAGGATGGTAACAAGATTCATTTGGTAAACCTTGGGTGGGTCACTCTACAAGCCTTCTCTATGCTTAGTAGGAGGCAAGGTCTTTACAGATACCATTAAATCAGCAAAAAATAGTTGTGTAGCTGCTGGGAAAAGAGCTAAATTGGATTGATGTTTCATATGGGAAAGGAGTTTTATTTATTTATTTATTTTACGATTTATACCCCACCCTACCCCGCCGGAGCAGGCTCAGGCTTACACAGGATAACATACACAGTAACAATCAAAGGTTTATAAAACATTTTAAAACAATTCATTCAAACAATACCATATTAAAGTGCTAGCTTTGTTGTTTGATGTTGTAACAATGACGTTACCGCGTGAGTGCGCATTCCCCATAGTTGTTTAAGGTACGGCATATGATCCACAAGACATTGTTTCTGCCCAGGCTCTGTAAATTTCCTTGAGAATTCCCCCAGGGAATTTCACAAAACCTAACAGATAACAGCAAAGGGCCATACAGAGTGTCATGAAACAAAGTTCCATGCTGCAGTCTGAAAGTAGCCAGATAGCATTATCTATGACACAGGAACTTCTGGGCCCCTCTCCTAATTATATAACGCCAAGAAATCTAAGCATGAGCTAGTAGAGAAAGGGCAAGGAGGAAAACGTATGCTGATGCTGCTACCCTAACTCATACACTAGGATCAAGAGTCAGGATTTCCAGGAAATACTGAGTCACACCACAATTAAAAAAAAGAAAGAAATCTGACTCAAATCTCAACACATAGTCACATGGATGCTTGATACTATGTCTAACTTTGCGCGTGTGCATTCACATGTATTTCCTCCTATGTCTAGTCGTTGTGACATCCTCAGCTCTGGGGGAGTGTCATATTTCTTCTGTGGACAGAGCAACACTTTAGATGTGTCTAGAACTACATCCTGGACATGGCTCTGCTCAGCAGCAAATCCCGTATTGAATGCACAATCAAGCACATGTCCCCAGTACTCTGTTGACTTAACATATTATCCGGCCAAGAAGCAATGTGTCAAATTAATTTCAGGGCCACTTCTCCCTCAGAAGAAGGATGCTCCTAGTAACCTGCAGGAATGTAAAAACAATTACTTTTTGACACAAATAAATTGTTCAAATAGTAAAGTGTATGTGGAAAACCAATGGATTCTATTTGATAGGGGGGAAATGAGTAAAGACAAAAAGAGGTCTTTGCTTTACCTAATGACAGATTAGACCAAAAAAAACCCCACTGGTGAATATGATATCCCAGCACACATTATGATCAGCAAGCAGGTAGTGCACAGTTCACATGTGCATCACCCATTAGGAGATTATACTTTTACTTTCGCACAGGAATGGCTCAGTGCATATCCAGTGCTGCAACTGGCCAGCATTTTTTATTTATAAGATGGTGTAAAAGAATGCAACCCTGAGCTTGTGAGCAGATGTCAGGATTTAGTGCAGATCAGGCTCTGGCAGCTGCATTCTTGGACCAGGGAACTATCAACCCACTGATACCAGTGCCAGGTAAGTAAGGGACCCTGAACAGGGATACAAATCCAAAGTAGTAAACAAGAGGGCCAGAGGCTGACGTATAGTCAAAGCAAAGGACAAGCCCAAGGAAGCAAGCAAGACCCCCAAAAGTGAGCAGCACCTGAGCTAGTTAATCTCCCCACTCAAGAGACAAACTGCTTGGACAGAGGAAGAAACTCCAGGCCTGGAGTTTTTATAGGGCATGGCGCACAGGGACTGGCCCAGAGTGCAGATGACTAGGCATTTAGGAAGTGCTATTATTGCAGCGTAGATTGTGCTCTTGATCTTAAGTATGGCAGACTTGCAGTAGATACAGAAAAAGTGCTAGAACTTTTGAAGCATGGCTGAAGTGTCTTAAATAAGAAATGTAACCTTTTGCAAGCCCTGGTTTCCCATTCTAGTTTAAAGGTAAAATGTAAGTTATACTTTGCTGGTTCATATTCCTGTGAAAGGACAGGAATCAGAGTATGTGAGGGAAGGAAGAAGGGAGAGGACAGACCACCAATCCTGAGACTTGCTCTTGTAATACCAAGGCCCCGGTCACACGGAGCATTAGGCATGCTAGAGAGACGGAAGATAGGCGGATTTTCCGGGTGCGACCTCACAGCCACATCTGGGAAGCGTACAGCTCCCGAGGCTCACCCGAGGCTTCACTCTGAAGATGCGCTGTAAAAAACTACTACCTCCGAGGTACTAGTTTCCGGAAACCGCAGGGCAAGGGCGGGCGTCAGATCACGTTTCTGGTGGTAGCTCGTGGCATCCGGCGCCCGCCCATGTCCCATCATGAAAACGTTTTTTTGTCAAGTCTCCATGGATACGCACAAGCACCCAACGACGCATGCGAACACTTGGGTTAAAAAAAAAACCACAACCCCGCGGCGCCGCTTCTTTGCCACGCCGCAGGAGTGAGGTATGATTGGCACCTCCCCCAACCACGGGACATCGGGGGGACGTCGGGTGGGACGTTTTATCTGGCTGCCGCACAGTAGTTCGCTCTGGGGCAAACAGCCACGCCTCCCCCCTGCGATATCCGGCCCGTGTAATTTCATGATAATTGACTTCCGGTCTCAGCGTTTCGCCGCTCAGATGCATCCCGTCTCCCTCTGATGGAGATGCACCAAGACTCGGCTGATGGGAAGGGTCCAAGCTGGTCCCAGACCCTCCCGGGGTCTTCACAGGAGACCCCCAGCCTGGGGAGCTGAGGAGAGCCTCTTCCAAGGCGACAGCCAAGGAATCGAGGCTCACCTTTTCCCCATAAGGTCCCATCACCGTAGAGCCAATATGGCAATCAGAGACGAGTGCCGGAGCAAGCGGACACATCCGAAAGCTTGAAAAATGCTTCTAAAAGATGCCCAAGGCTCCAAAATGTGAGTTAAGCAATGGTCAAGAGATACAAATTGAACACGAGCCTTGGTAGAAATTAGAAGCACCTATGAATAAAGTGTGGGTGAAGGGGGAACTCAACCCCCCCCCAGTGAAACCTAAAAAGCAATTTTAAATCAAGAACAAAAGGCTTTAAGCTAAACTAAACCGAAGAAAATTCTAATGAAGTCAGAAACTGCATGCTAGTATAAAGCCCATTAAAATTGTTGAATTTTTATCTTGTTTTGGAAAACTTACTTCTTGTTGATATTATGGCAGGGAGAGGGCGGAGAACGATGCCGGAGAAGAAACCACTCCCAGGAAATAACCAACCAACGACTCCCTCCCAGAATCAGGAAGTAGCTACAGACTTTTCTATACTGTTAGCAAATGCACTGCGCCCTCTAATGGAGCAGATGACGAATCTCAACACCAAATTGGACTCAGTCCAAAAACAGTTGACCCAAATGGATAAAAAACCCTCAGCTACAGAGAAAACAATAAAAATGATGGGAAAAAAGACTGAGAGTATTAATAAAAGAATGGATGAAGCAGACAAAGAAAGATCCTCTATCAAAACACAGCTAATACAGCTTCAGCTGGAAATATCCACATATGTCTTGTTTCCAAGGGATTCTAGAAGAAAAAAATGAGGACTTCAAGGAACTTTTAGCGGATGCTCTTGTACCACTAATGGATTATAAACGAGAAGAATTATTGAATGAAATGGACTTAGCATACAGGATTTATCCGGATTTTATAAAGAAAAACAAACTTCCAGGAGAAATTTATTTGAAATTCACGAAACGATCTACCAGGGATCTGGTGCTAAAATCCACGACGGGGAAGGTTTTAAAAATTCAAAACGAAGAGGTAAAATTTTTGAAATATCCCCTTTGAAGTGAGGAAGGAGACTTTATAAGGAGCTTACTCTATTTCTTCAAAAAAAAAAAAAGGGAATACCCTACAGATGGGTATTCCCTGAAGGACTGAGTTTCAATTATGAGGATAAAAAAATTAAGATTTACTCTGTTCCTAAAGCAAATAAGTTTATGGCCCAATTCTCAAAGCCAAACCAAAATAAAAAAGAAAAGAAGAAGGAACTTTCTGTGGACGAGGAAGAAGATGGCAAAGAATCCTACTCACAGGATTCAACAAGCACTAGTTCTAAATCTTCAGAGACTTCGGAATCTGAAAAAGAAGCCACTCCCAAACCTTAGACAAGGAAGAAACGCAAGAAGAAAAGACTCTGAAACTAAGATTGATGTCTATGCAGTTTATGTTAAAATGATATTCAAAGCTAATTTTTATTCTTAAACCTTTATATACAATGTTATCTTAATATTAGGTGACTTAGTTACAAATTCATGTAATCCAGATCGTGTCACCTGTTAGCTCCACTCCCCCACTCCCTAGTAGAATTGTAGTATATAGTATTAGAGCCCCACTCCCCTATTCTTGTAGTAGTTAGTGATGTAGTAATGGAAAAACAATAAAATCTTTTTTTTTAAAAAGATAATTGTGAACCAAGCTCAGATATCTTTTGCAAAAGTGTACATATGACAATGCGGAAACATTTTTTTATAGAACCAAGGGCTCTAGGCGCTGAAATGTTTATTTATTTAACAGACCAATTTCACCAAAATCTCACCAAGATATACAGATACACTTTAGATGAGTTATCATTCAGCAATTAAATAAGTATCTTCATTCAAATTCGACAGTATGGGGCTAGTTACAGGAAGAACTTTTTGCTTTAGATCTGAGTTGGCATATATTCCACTCTCATCCTGCCATGTGTTGATTCCTTGTCTTCTGTAGTCTGCTGTATCAGTAAACTGAGAATGACATTTTCTGTGAATCACAGAGTATCCTCCTAGCTGAGCAGTAACCTGGGAAAGAAACATTTATTTCTTTATATTTTCCCTTCTACTTTTTTTTTTGCCACAAATTGACACACACACCCCCAAGAGGCTCATAAGAATCAAAATTTAATATGAATGCCAATTATAAAGTTCACTGGAAATTGTTCTGGAGGGAGCAGTATTCTCAGTTGTCTGGATCCAGGGACAAGGGGAAAACTGACACCCTTGCTGCTTCCCTTCTCTTTGATAGCCTTGTTAAGGTCTTTTGGAAGCTGGAGGGAGAGGGGCTCTTAGGTGAAGATGGGTCCAGGCACAATGGGAAGGGTGTCTAACTGCATCCTGCCCTCCTGCTTGATGGACTCATTGATGGAAACTGGGCAGATGGAGTCTGCAGCTAGTTGCAACTGGAGATGTCCATTAAAACTACATTCAGATATCAGAAACAAACCACAATTTGTTCATGATGAGAATGAGCCTGAAATACTTGGGCCTGATGCTTCAGCCCTTCTCCCTTTGCACACTGTGCCAGAAGTGAAGACTACCAGGTCTAAGACATCATCAGTCTAGCAATTTGTTGTGACATCCAAATCAAGTGCTTTAACAAACTGGGTGCATTTTTGCTATAAACCAAGATTAAATCATGAAGCAAACCCCAGTTTGTTAAACTGTCTGTTTCAGACATCACAATGAACAGTGGTTACATTGAAGGCATCCTAAACCTGTAAACTCCCAATCTTGGTATGCTGCATAAAGGGAGGGGGGAAGGACGACACGAGAAGGAGCTTGTGAGCCAAGGATATCTGGCTCATTGTCATTACAAACAAATTGTGGTTTGTTCATTATATTTAAATACAGACTTAATATACATCATTTTCTCTTCCAACAAAAACGTTTCACTAGACTACGTGGTCCAGATTTAGGTGTGTAATAAGATTATGTGCATGTGCAGCAGGATTGTCCCCAAACAACAGGGCTCTACTTTTTTCTGCGCTATAGTACATTTACTTATTAGCTTTACATTTAATTAGAAAAGGTTTGCTTTTAGCCGTAACAGGGCAACTCTTGCTAAGTTTGAAAAGGCCCTTGGGTAAGGCCCAAACTGGCAGTGGTCTCTTGGTGTGTACAAGGCTCTTGAAGCACTCCCCTTCCAGTGAAAACATGGGACAAGGATGTGCGGATCCTACCCCTTACAATGGTAAAATTTCTGCTATAGCCTAGGGCTAGAGAGCTGCTTTAACTATAAAACCACCACTCATAAAAAGATCTGCCAAGTCTGGGACTCTCTCATAAGCTATATAAAATAGTTGGTGTTCTGTGGCAAAACAAAGGCTTTTTGTTTTCTCTGTGGAGAATTCATGAAAGAAAAACACGCAAATAAAGGACAAATCCAGAATTTATGTGCTACAGGTACAGGTGTGAACAGACATAGGGGCTCTCAAGGCAATGGGCCTCCTGAAAGGAACAAGAAGCATTTCACATATTAATTTGAATTTGAAACAAAACACCTACATCTATAGCTACAGGGATGCTGTGTTGTGTTGTTCAATGAGATCAAAATGTCCAGAGTACTAATATGTGTGGGAGATCTTCCATCGAGATAGCTGAATGTTTGTGTATGCACTCATATAAATACTTTCTTTTATGGGCTGCCATAGTTACAAAAGTATCTGGCTGCGATTCTTTCTGCTGAAATCCTTGGCACATAAAGTAAGGAACCCAGATCAAATCATTACGCATCAGTACACTTTCCTCATTTACACATTCCATTTTATTGCATCTCACACATACTCATAATTGCACATTTTTACAGCACACCATGCACACAAAGTGATCTCTCAATTGCCATATAATATGTGCAAGTTCAAATGCTATGAATTTTTATCTCAAATTTCTGTATTATATGCTTATGTTTTTTAAACCTTTTCGTGATGAACATAATTGTGTTACTCCAGATTTTCTCAAAGGCTTGGCTCCTGTACTTCCCTTCCATTTGCACAGCACAACTATGCTTAAGCAGAAAATGCCTGGTGTGGAAGAATGCATTCTGCAAAAGACAACCATGCTGAGCAAGCATAAAGAAAGTACAGGATTCAAGCCATTGTCTAAATCTGTTGCTAAGCAGTATCTAAAAACTGGATGTCTTAGGTCCAGTCTGCATGTAAAAATGGCTCCGGGGAGGCTACTTGAAAGCACTGTGTAGCAACTGCTACATCATATCTGTCATATGTAAACATTGCAGAAAAGCCCCTTTGTATTCCTATGTACTTACATATGGAGTATAGTCATATGGAGGAACATAGTCTCTCCGGTAAACTGTGTCCAGAAACCTGTAAAACATTATATATAGCAGAACTAATTTTATTTATTACATTTTTTAATTTGACCAACATCTGAGAACTCACTGAAAAATAATTTGAAAGCTATAATCAGGGGTCATTTGGAGCAGGAATAGGAATGGTTTTCCGGGAGTAAAAAGTAAACTCCTCCCCCCCTCCTTTCCCTTCGCTTCACCTCCAAGCGGGGTGAAGGGAAGGGGGGGGAGAAAGGGAATCCAGGGCTTCTTCTGCCTGCCAGCACACCAGCCCCTCTGATAGGTAGAAGCACCTGGGATCCATTCCTTTCTTTACCATCACCTCACCTCCAAGCAGGGCGAAGCATTGGCCCTGCTGCCAGGCAGAAACATCTGAAAGGAGCCTGCCACCTCTGTGGAGCATAGTTTTTAAAGGTTATGGTAAATGTTGATTGTTTTTTTGGATAAATGTTTGTAGATCTGGGTTGCAACTTTGTATTTTAGTTGTGTAAAGTGACAACAGATGTCCTCCCCCTCTCTGGAGTCATGCTGCAGTGGCCTTCCCTTCAATGATGGGAGACTACCGCTGTCGTGCCCCCCCCCCACAACTGGGGAGGATCATTATACCCTATGGAGACAGTCCCCAATCTGGTCCGGATCTTCCTCAGCTAAGAATGGTTTCTCATGAAGATGTTTTTGGCTGACAAGATAAAAATATTTTGGCGATTCGAACATGACTGAATGGCTAACAACAACAAGGTTTTTAATTTCAGAGTTTTTTTAGAAACATCTGTCTTGTTTATGGATCCAACTTGTGGCGTCCTCTCTTTTGGGAGGACTGGTTTTCCCTTTAAATGTGCTCTTTACTTCTGTAAACTGGGTAGATTCGGCTGCCACCAGGAATATGAGGATTTCCAAACCTTCTCTCTGTTTCTCTTACTGGTAGGGTAACACAGGGTCTAGGCTTTTCAGGGATCTATGTGGTCCTGAGGAATGATTGAATTCAGTTCTGGGATAACTTAAACAAAAGATGATTTATTGAACTAAGAACAAAATAAGAGGTTGGTTATTATGTAACTGGCTGGGAATAAGGTTCTTGTAAATATATTTGTAAGGTAAAGGTTCCCTTGCTTGAAAGCCAGTCAAATCTGACTCTAGGGTTGCGGCGTCTCACTTCTGGTTTTAAATTGGGGCTAATACACAAGTACTTGAGGTTAGGCAGAAGAGGTTCAGCTCTCCTCAAACACATATTTTGATGTCAAATAAGCTCACTGTGTACCTGAACATGGCAGATATGTCAACAACAAACATAACTCCCTCTGTCACATGTATACACCTCATAGAACCACTAGTGTGTGACTTACTGTGGTCCAAGCCAACAAAGAAAACAAAGACACCCTGTAACCTTGAAACATCTTCTCTTTTAAAATATGACCTCTGTAAAGAGCCAGTACAATGCCAATGACTAACCCTTTGAAATAAATTCGAAGGCGCCATCAAATGCAGATGACCTAGCTCTATAAAAATGTAGCTTTTAGGAGGAGTTGGTGGGGTGGGGGGAATAAATATCAAGTTTATGGGGTCTGGCTAGCTTACCCACCAATACATTCTGTAATATCACCCATGTCTCAGTTTTCTGTTTCTTTTCCTTCTCAGCTGTGCTGATCCATTTTTAGACTTGTGTTTCAAGGCAATTATTGGTCATTACTCATATCACAAATAAAACTGAGCACAATTCTACAAGAATAGAAGAAAAGGCCAAAACAATGCAAGGAATTGAACAAGTTCCTTATGTAAAGGAATGCGGATCTGTGAACTCAGAGACAAGGATTTCCCCCCCTCTTTTGATGTAGTTCACATTACCGGGAAATTAATTTTGATCAGTCCTCTCCCCTGACATTTTGTGCAGCAAATGATTTATCATATCAAGCCAAGAATTTGAAATTTGAATGCCTAAATCTGGGAATGTGAAGTTCTTATTGTGAGTAGGTGCCAATTTATTATGGAGCTTGACCAACACTCCAGTTTTCTATAAATTCCTAGAGTTGACATGCCAGGACAATATCAGAGAAAAGATCATACTAAAACAACACAAAGGGCTTCCTTTCTTTGGGGGGTGGCTGGTTTCATTGTTTGATTAGGGCCTGGCTCTTTCATCAAGACAAAACCTAATCAAGCATTATATGTGTAGTTTTGAAGGGTTTTTCTTCAAGACAAATGTTGATTCTGGATACATTTCTTGAGATATATGGAATTATGTTAAAGGCAACTGTGGAATAGTGAATCTTATAGTTTACTTAACCCATGGCATACATACTATTCTTTTATTACATGAGCCAAACCTGTTGAGAATTTGGCTATGACAGAAAGCCTTGCCCGGGGAGGGGTGTGTATATAAAGTGCTGTAAGTCACAGAGAAGGGAGTACTTTATCAGATAACTTCTAGGCCCAAAAGTGGCAGTGGTGGATGCCAGGAGCAGCTCCTTGCTTGGTTGTAGCAGCAGTGGACACCAGGATAGGCTCCAGGGCTGGCTGCTGCAGCAGAGCCCTCTGGGAGCCGCTCTGGGCCTGGCCGGTGTGGTGGAGCACTCTGGGAGAGGCTCCAGCCCTGGCTGTGGCAGCAGTAGACAACAAGAGATGCTCTGGACTCTGAGTGGCTCCCAGGCACCATTGCTGTCGCCACCAGACTGAAAGTGGATGGTGGTGCCTGGATAGGGTTGCCAAGTTGTTTTTACTCACCGGCAGGGGAGTGTTCCTTTGGTCCGGGAGCTGTGCGCAGTATGCGCGCAGGAAGTGACGCACGACGTAGAGCACGTTGGGGCGCGTATAGAGTTTTCCCTCCAACGATTGTGGCCACGCCCCCAACGTGCTCTATGTGGTTGCGTCACTTCCTGTGACGCACCCCACACTGCGCCTCGGGGGGCGGGGTTCCCCCCGGGGCCCAATTCCGCCGTGGCAGAAATCGGGCCTCCAAAGCGGGGGTTTCCCCGCCACCCGCCCCCACTTGGCATCCCTATGCCTGGAACCACTATAGGAGGAAATGGGATCTCCCCCCCTTGAGTCTCCCCGCCCCAGCCAACTGAGCCTTAAGGAGAATCAGCAGCAATGGGAGGAGGAATTCCTTCCCCTCTAGTATTGCGGGTCTCTACTTGTAAATTTCCTAATAGGCATCTATATTCCTTGCAAAACTTTAATGTTATGCTATTCATATCCACCAGGCTTACTGAATCCCAAAGAGACAGCAGCTGCACTATCTGAGGCTGGGGTGAGCACTTTTGCCAGCTTTGCCCCCCACTGCAGTACTCTAGCAGCAGTGCAAAAATGCAAAGGAGCATCCTGAATTCATCAGGGTCATTTTTTCTGTCTCTTTAAAACAAGAATTGTAACTCTTTTGTTTTAAAGTATTTTTATGGTATTAGTAAGCCATCCTGGGTACTAAAAATAGTAGAAAGGCAGGTATAACTGTTCTACATAAATAAAGTGCCACCAGGATTATAACATGGCTGAGATCCAATGAATGTGTGTGATGAATGTGTGCCTGAGCAAGCACACCGTTTCTACCCATTTTGTTTTCCTTACGGAGCCCCTGATACTACACTGGACTGTCCTGTCCCATCCTCAAGAGTGACTGCAGTGGGAGAGGAAGACCATGGAAAACTCTGATGCATACAAAGAACCCACACACAGTTGTGTGAATCCCAGTCGTTTTGTTATCCAGGGAACATTACAGCTTTTACTAAACAACTCTTATAAAACCTAAAAACCTACCTGTTTTAATACATGAAACCACCTGTTTACATCTGCAGAAGGGGGAATGGATCTACTTTTTAACAAAAACAGAGACCATTCAGGGGAAGGGGCTATGCCCCTCCCTGCTTTACTTTCTTGCATCCTGGCTTACTTCCAGTACTGGAGGAGAGCTGGGGGGGATTCTTTAAAAAATCCTTTAAAAATCTTTAAAATCCAGTACTAGAAGAGAGCTAGGAGAAACATTCTTAAATATTCTTAAGATGACAGGATGCAGCAAGGGAATTTGAGAAGGGGGAGCTTCCCTTACTCACACACCTAGCCCTAACCTGAATAATGCAGGCTAGCTTGATCTCATCAGATCTCAGAAGTTAAGCAGGGTCAGCCCTGGCCAGCATTGGGATGGGAGACCTCCAAGGAATGCCAGGGTCATGACATGGAGGCAGATAAACCACTCTCTTGCCTTGAAAACCCTATACTGTCGCCATAAGTCAGTTGTGACTTGATGGCACTTTCCACCACCACACACACACTTAATTTTTACTAAACAAATAGAACTCCTCACCTCCTGCTTTAGTTGTGAAGAGACAGACACATGTATAAAGTCACACCTCATCTGGTCATAATATATTGAACTCCATATAATATCTTTCTACAGTAGAACACTTGCAGATTCTTAATTTTTGAGGATGATCCACTACTTGTATTGTCACTGCTTGCTACTGGTTGGTTTGTACTGGGAATACCCAAATCACAGTACAAAGAGGGGCCATCATTATTTGTTTCACCTCAGTCATGCTTTCTCCATGTGTGAGATAGGAAGTCAAATGCCCCCCTATAAATTGCGAACTTTTAAAGTTCCTGTTGTCACTATTACCTTGCTATAGGTACTGCTGGTCTGCTTTCTTTTGCTTCACTATAGCAACAAGACTTCCTTCACCCTGCTTGGTTTGAATTCCAATCAAAGCACAGATGATGAACCGATGCTGTTTCCATTTTTTAATTAATTAATTGTTGTTGTTGTTCCTGTTGCTATGAGAGAATCATTGCAGGGCTCAGTGGAGTCAAGAATTCTTGGATCAGGGTTTAGCTCTTGCAGAGGGAAAGTGAAACACCACCAATCTTTGGTTCTCTTTCGCTAACCATCTAATCACCCATCAAGCAGTGAGAGAATCTTCCTTGACCCAGCTGCCTCAAGCTTTTAAAATGCTGCCTCCAGTCAACACCCAATACCTGCTTCCTCCTGAGTTTTCTTGCAGATTCAAGACAAAGGAGACATTCACTGTAGCCAATGAAAAGACAGATTTGGGCCATATCCAATAGGACATGGGCAAAAGGTCATGTTAAAGCTTGTTCTGTGGCAGTGACAGTGGCAAAGAAACAACATCCTTCCACCACCATTACGTTTGCGCAATGTAGGCCAATGGAGCTGTTCCGGGTGGTCAGAGGCAGAGGTCATTTCGGGGGGGAACGCAGTTCCCCCAGGTGAGGTGCAGGGGGCGGGGCACATGACGAAGCCCCGCCCCCTGCTTCCGGCCGCCCCGCTTCCAGCCCTCATTCAGCCAGGAGGAGGCAGGAGAAGAGGGAGGGTAAGTTGCATCCTCCCCGCCTCTCCCCACCCCTGCCTGCCTGGGGCCAGGGAGGGCCTTGGTGGGGCTTCCTCGCACTCCCGCTGGCCTTGCAGGTCCACCACCAGGCCTCTGATGTGAGGGGGTGTGGCATATGCTAATGAGTTATGCTAATGAGTTCCCCTAGCTCTTTTTCTACGAAATGACCCCTGGTCAGAGGCCTGTTGTGATCTGGCCTGCAGGAGGAGGTGGACTGCTCAGTGGCCCACTGTGACAGTTTTGCTCAACACTTTGCAGGTAAAATCTCAGACATCTGTTCTGACTTGGACTCTGCATTAGCAGTGACAAGGCCAGTCAGGGTGCTGACTTGTCCAATTGTGTGGAAGACTTTTCGGTTTATTCAGTCTGAGGATGAGGACAGGTTCCTTGGAAGTTTGAGGCCTACCTCCTGCTTGTATGACCCTTCCTGGTTACTTAGATCTTCTGGAGGGGGGGTAGCTGGTTGAGGGGGGTTGAAGAAGTAGTTAATGCTTCCTTAAGAGAGGGGATGGTCATCCCAGCCTTGAAACAGGGTGTGGTGCGTCCATTTCTAAAGAAGCCTACCCATGATCCAGGAGATCTCAATACTTATTGACCAGTCTCAAATGTTCCATTCTTGAGCAAGGTGATTGAACAGGTTGTGGCCAGACAATCTCCAAGTCTTCTGGGATGAGGCAAATAATTTAGATCCCCCGATCTAATTTCACACCTGTTTATGGGACTGAAACAGCCTTGGTCACCTTGGTGGATGATTTGGGATGAGAGATGGAGAGAGGGAGTGCAACTCTATTGATTCTCCTGGCCCCCTCAATAGCTTTCAATACCATCAATCAAGGTATCCTCCAGGGACACCTATCTGGACTGGAATTGGGAGGCACCCTTCATCAATGGTTCCTGTCCTACCCAGAGGGTAGGTTTCAGAAGGTCATGCTGGGGCATCGCAGTTCAGCCCCTTGGCCTTTGGTGTATGGGGCTCCAAAAAGGTTCCATATTGTCCCCTATGCTCTTTAGCATCTACATGAAACTGCTGGGTAAGGTCATCTGGAGATTTGAGCTGGGTTGTCACCATATTCAGATGACACTCAGCTCTATCTTGCACTTCCAGTTGATCCCAGGGACGCTATAGAAACCCTGAACCAGTGCCTGGAGGCAGTTTTAGAATGGATGTGGGCTAATAAACTGCAGCTGAATCCCAACAGGAGGAAAATGCTACTGCTGGGTGGAAAGTCTGTCCCAGGATTTAAGGTATCATGTGTTCTGGATGGAGTTACACTCCCTTTGAAGGAACAGGTCCATAGTTTGAGGATGCTCTTGGATCCAGCCCTACTGCTGGATAAGCAGGTGTCAACTGTGACTAAGAGTGACTTTAACCAGCTTTAACTGATTAACCAGCTGGCCACTGTGGTATATGCCCTAGTTACACCCAGATTAGATTATTGCAATGCTCTCTACATGGGGCTGCCCTTGAAAAGTGTTCAGAAACTTCAGTTGGTATAGAACGCTGCACCCAGGTTATTGACTGGAGTGGGTCGTAGGGACCATATCACTCTAGTCTTGGCCCACCTACACTGGCTTCCAACTTGTTTCTGGTTCTGGGAACAATTTAAAGAGCTGGTCTTGAACTACAAAACTGTATATGGTTTGGGACCTACTCCCTTACGAACTCACCCAAACGTTACTTTCATCTTTGCATGCCCATGCCTTCTGAGATCAGGTGGGTGGCACCAATTTCTGGAATTCTCTCCCCATGGATATTCAGCTGTCCCCATCTGTCTTCCGCCAGCAGGTTGAGACTTTTTTTTGTTTTGTTGGCATTCCCCCAATCATCCCTCCTTCCTAACCAATGATTTTAATGTTTTGTATGTATTTTAACAGTTTTGAATGTATTTTAACTCTGGTTTTTTACTCTTTAAAGATGTTTTAATGATGTATGTTTGTATATGGTTTTATAATGTATGTTTTTATTATAATGGTTTTAGCATGTAATTTTATCATGTATCTTTTAAATTGTCAACTGCCTTGGTGGCCTTTGAAAGGGCAGAAAAGCAGGATCTAAATTTTGTAAGTAAATAAATAAATAACATGGGTTTCCTTTGTGCTCCAGAATGTAATTCCCCCCAAAAAAACCATGATATTCAGAGTTGGCTCTCTGGTCATATTACATGCAACTATGAAAATTTTAATGAGAATGAAAGTAGGGCTTTAACAATGCTGCACAAGTTAAAAAAATTACAATTTTTGATAGATAGAAAATAAATATAATTTTATCTATCTACTGATGCTCAGTACGACCACTAAAGTAATTACTTGCTTTTGACCTGCACACTGGTAGCCAACAATAAATAAATGTTACACATTTTGTGGCTTAGAAATAACTGTTGTTAATCACTGTGTATAGATCCTTCCAAACTTCAGTAAAACACAGGCATAATCACCAAACAAACATTTTCTGCTTTTGTGAATACTAACATTGTAAAATGATCTGGGGAATGACGTGGCAATACAGCTCCAGCACCTGTTTCAGGAAGCCCTGTCTCCCTACAAATAAAGAGAAAGTTTCAGACTATAAGCAACAAACCAAGAACATTCAAGATCAACTCCAATCTTACTAACATTTTAAAAATAATTAACCTAACTCTTATTACTGGCCATGAAAAAATATATCAGGGACCATTAGATCAAACTCAAATATACATTAGAAGCAAAACTGTTTATCCCCATGATATTTTCATTTTACAGCAGAGTGCAGTTGCTTCATTTTGACACACTTGACATCACTACTATGGTTATCATCGTACTGTATTTCTGTAAATGGTCACCACTGCTCTCTACTGGTTGGAGCGTGCCAAAGTGGTTCAAAAGTGTATTCATTTATAACTTTGCTGCTTAGCAATGAGCAAAGCTATCCTCATTCTGACAAACATTTACTGTATAAAATCTTCCATCTCAAAAGCATAGAGGACTTATACAACTTTAGCTTAACTAACAGAGTCAACAAGACGTGTTTACTGGAAGATGCCATTTATTCTTTCCAGTTCCTATCCCATAATCTTTGGATAAATTGCCAACTCTACCACAGATAAGTTGGAACTGGTGCAGATACTAATCACATTCAGTATTTTTGAGCATTAGTGGAACATGTAAAGGAATAAGATATTTTATTCAGTGCTATACATCAGCATTATTTGAACGCTGAATAAGAATTCAAAAGTATTCAGAATACCTGCTAATAACTGCTTCTTCAAAACTATCTTCATCCAACAGGGGCTTCTTAATGTTTAATTCCCGATACTCCTTATTTCTAAAGGGTTGTGACATATAATCTTGATATGTGGTTATCCATTTCTAAAAATAAGTATTTTAGGGAAAGCAACAAATTTTACTAATATAATAGCAGTCTGATTATTATTATCTATAATGTACAATTATTTGTTTCATAAGAACATAAGAAGAGCCCTGCTAGATCAGACCAGTGGTCCATCCAGGCCAGCATCCTGTGTCACACAGCGGCAAACTAGTTCTTCTGGAGGGCCAACAGGGCATAGAGGCCGAGACCTTCCCTTGACAATGCCTCCTGGCTCTGGGATTTAGAGGTTTAGTGCCTTTGAATGTGGAGGTTCCTCTCAGTCATCACCAGGGCTAGCTGCCACTGATAGACCTATCCTCCATGAATCTATCTAATCCCCTTTTAAAGTGATTTATTCCTGTGGCCATCACTACAGTGAATTCCACTACAGTGAATTCCACATCTCCACAGTGAGTTCCACATTTTAATCACTCTCTGTGTAAAAATCACCTCCACTCTCTGGAGGTGATAAGACCTCCAATTAATTGAAATCAACCATAGGATCTACAACCAATTTGAATTTAATTATTGTGATTGTTTTCTGATTAATTATTGATAAAGGGATAGGAAATTAGAAGATAGATAGATAGATAGATAGATAGATAGATAGATAGATAGATAGATAGATAGATAGATAGATAGATAGATAGATAGATACACACACACACACACACACACACACATATACATATATATCTCTGGCCTTTATTTAAATTACTGGCCAGATAATTCGTGTACTATTGGCAATCCTCTTTAGATGAGTTCTTGGTAGGATAGGATATGAAATCTGTGTAATCTAGCAGCAGTGGGTGTTGCAGCCATTACCACTGTCCACCATACCGAGTGTCCATTGTCTGCCTCATTAGTGGTCTGAAGGTTTGTGGAGATCACGAGGGGCGATGACATCGGGCCAAGGGATTCCAGTGCTCCTGGGAAGGGGAAGGTATAGCAGCGGGAGCAGGCAGGGTAGCAAGGGAAGGGGTGGAGAAATGGAAAAGCTCGTCCCCCTTCCAGCCTGCGTCCCATCACGAGGGATGTCAGCAGTGGGGCTAGGAAGATGAACCCCCCTCTGTCATTGGTGTTGTGCAATGCCAGGTCTATAAATAATAAAACCATGGTCCTTAGGGACTTCCTGCTAGAGCAGAATGTAGACCTGGTGTAAACCAAGGAGCGAGCTTAGTGCGAGGGCGCAGAGGGCGCCGGGGAGCGATCTCATCAATGGCCACAGAGCTGTGCCAATCCTCTACGAGATCATCCAATAAGCCACCAGGGGGTATGCGTGACCAAGACCTGGGTGCAGGAAGGGGAGACAGTGGCTCTCTCCCAGTTGGCCCCTCCCGGGTTCTCAGTCCTACACCAATAGCGGACTAGGGGCAGGGGGAGGAGTGGCTCTATTCATCCGGGAGGCTTTCTCCTTCAGGATACTCAAGCCGCTGAAGATCACGGGCATCAGGAGGCTTTCTCCTTCAGGATACTCAAGCTGCTGAAGATCACGGGCATCAAATGTGATGGCCTGGTATGGGAGGCCAGGGAAAGTTTGGCAATTTGGCCTAACGCACAGACCAATAGCCTGTCATCCCTGATGGAGGCCGTATCAGGCTGGGCATTGGAACACCCCTGACTGATAGTCTTGGGTGATTTCAATGTCCATACAGATGACGCGACCTCTACTCAGGCAGCAGACCTAGTGTCGTCCATGGCATCACTGGGACTCTCCCAATATGTAACGACACCCACTCACCAAGTTGGGCACATGCTCAATTTGATCTTTGCGGCAGGGGTAACAGTGGACCAGGTTTCTGCTCTGGCAGTCCCATGGTCGGACCACCATGCCCTGAGGGCCCACCTGAATGTCCCACCCCGACCCTGTTTAGGCGGTGAGTGCATTTTAGCTTGCCCACGGAGCCAGATGGACCCAGTGCAGCTCCAGATGGCTCTGCGGGATCTGATGCCCCCTGGTGGCTTATTGGATGATCTCATAGAGGACTGGCACAGCCGACTCTCTGTGGCCATTGATGAGATCGCTCCCCAGCGCCCTCTGCGCCCTCACACTAAGCTCGCTCCTTGGTTTACCCAGGAACTATGGCTTATGAAGCGAGAGCTAAGATATCTAGAGAGACAGTGGTGTCGAACTCGAGACGAAGCTACAAGAACATCTTATAGGACCTTTATGAGATCCTATGAGATGGCAATCAAAGCTGTGAAGAGAGAGTACTTCATGGGTACGATTGCATCCACGAGCTCACGCCCAGACCAATTGTTTAGAACAATTCAGTCTATAACTGCTTTGCCAGAGGGCAAGCCAAACATTAGGGAATTGGATATAGGCTGTGAGGCATTTGTGAGCTATTTCGCGGATAAAGTCTTGGCGCTCTGCCGTGACCTCCCCGCCACAGTTGAAACAGTGAGTGAACTCGAGGCTCCATGCACGTCTGACTTCAACCCTGGATCAATTCAGCCCACTCAGTCTAGAGGAAGTCGACAGATTGCTCATGGCCGTATGTCCAACCACGTGCGTCCTGGACCCATGCCCTTCCTAGCTTATTAAAACTGGCCACAAGGGGTTTCGAGGTGCCCTTAAGGATATTATCAACAAGTTCCTCCCTGAGGGGCTGTTCCCAGGGGCACTCAAGGAAGCAATGGTTCACCCTCTCTTTAAAAAACCATCTCTGGACCCGGCTGAATTGCCTAACTATTGGCTCATCTCCAATTTGCCCTATCTGGGCAAATTAATTGAGAGGGCAGTGGCAATACAGTTGCAGGGCTTTATGGATGACACTTCCATGGTAGATCCCTTCCAGTCCGGCTGTCGCCTGGACAACGGGACAGAGATGGCACTAGTCGCTCTCACAGATGACCTCTGGAGGCATCTGGATCGGGGCAGATCAGCGGTAATGTTGCTGTTGGACCTGTTGGCTGCGTTCGACACGGTCGACCATCAGTTACTGATCCACCGCCTCACCGACATGGGAATTCAGGGGCTTGCCTTGCAATGGCTTGCTTCCTTTCTTCATGGTTGGGGACAAAGGGTGGCTGGTTGGCTTAGGCTTAGGACCGAGTTGAAGGAGTTGGTTTTTGAATCCCGCAAAAATTGAGGTCCTGTGTTAGAGTCGCGGCAGTTCTGGGGTGGGAATCTCGCTCCCGACCTTCAACAGGGTACCATTGGTGCCAGTGCCGGAGGTTGGGAGCTTGGGAGCTTGGGAGTGTTCCTGGATGCTTCCCTAACAATGGAGGTCCAGGTAGCAGCCACTGCCAGGTTGGCCTTCTATCATCTGCGGCTGGTCAGGCAGTTGGCCCCCTTCCTGGACGGCAACGACCTGGCCACAGTGATCCACATGATGGTCACCTTGAGACTGAACTACTGTAACGCTCTCTACATAGGGCTGCCCTTGTCGCAAATTCGGAAGCTGCAGCTAGTGCAGAATGCAGCAGCCAGGCTTTTGATGGGCCTCCCGAGAAGGGAGCACATCCAGCCTGTGCTGAGGACACTGCACTGGCTGCCAATAGCATACCAAATTCACTTCAAGGTGCTGGTACCTACCTATAAAGCCCTATATGGCCAGGGTCTGACATACCGCCTTTCCCCATGCTCTTTGAGTTCTGTAATACATGTATCTGTGAGCATTTCTAGTCAGCCCAGCTAGCAAAAAAGAGCGTTTTTCAATTTCATTTTACTATCCTTTGCTCCTTCTGCTACAAACTCAGATTCTTGGGCAGCAAGCTGTAAATCAAATTAAGCATAAAATAAAGAGCTGTCTGCTCCAGGCAAACATTCCATAATTCACCTTTGAGAATGAAAATCACAGCCAAGGCTAAATGTTGCACACAAGCCTATAATCAAATTTCTGCCAAACCACAAAGTACACTAATAATGTTCTATCCAATTGATGATCCTGGAACACTGAAGCTGGCATTTACACCAGTGTCCTTACCACCCTATCAAAAAGCTATCTCATCCTTTGCTTTCTATGTATTTACAACATGCACCCAAATTCTAGCCCAGCAAAAAACATGTTGCACAGAGACAGTCTGTGTAAACATATGTAGGTTTTTATATTTTCCCCCAAACTGATTACAGGGAATTGTTGGTCCAATAGGAGTGTTGTGTACCAAGGGAGACCGTGCACACGGTCGGGCTCACACGTGGTCAGGCGGACAGGTTAAGCTTCGCATCCGAAGACAATAGAAAAGGAGGATCCAAGAGCTAGCCAATCGGCCAGCCCGGATCCTAAAAGGAACCAATGGTGGGAGTTGTTTGTAAATAAACCTATCATGTGTGTGTGTGTGTGTTGGGTGTGGTTAAGAACAGGAATATAAGCGGGCCATGGCTCCCGCTAGTGATCTCAAGTTCTCCTATGCATGAATAAAGTATGAGCTGAAATCACTAAGCTATGCCTCAATCTCAGTACTTTATAAGGAGTTAGGATCAATTTCCCATGTAATCTTAATTAAACATTTACATGTGAACAATGCTGATATCATTTTGCTATTCTGGAAAATCTTACCGTTTGCCTATTAAAATAGTACTCTAATGAAACTGGGTGCATGTAAGATACATGCATATTTGTTGTTCAGTCGCACAGTCAAGTCCGACTCTTCGCAACCCCATGGACCAGATCCCGCCAGGCCCTCCTGTCTTTTGCTGTCCTCTGAATACATGCATATATACACGTAGATTTTTAAAAATTCAATTTATATCCCGCCTTCCCTGCAGAGGCAGGCCCAGGGCGGCTTACAGAACATATATATGCAGCCTGTAAGCAGCCTGGATGGGAGAAAAGACACTGGGAAACACAGGTGAGCTGCTTGGAGGTTTTCATTCATAATAAGAATACGCTTGTGGCTTTTTCCACAGTAATTATAACAGCAATCCAGGAATGTGACTACAAAGTTAAATCTTGTATGCAATTTATATACATGAACTAGGGCAAGAGTTTTAAAAAGGGAATAAATTATCTTACCAATACCAATTTTAATATATTTATTAGAGACCCTGTGGCATCTTAAACACTAACTCATTCAGAGATTATGATGATTTCAGCCTTGGGACTGCTAATAGCCAGGCAGAGATGGTAGAAAGTTTATGTATTATTTTAAAATGCTATACAGAAAATAAAAAAATTAAACTTACAAAAGGTGAGATAATGATAACAGAAGTTTAAAGACTAGGATATGCTGGCTAGAATAACCAAAGAAAAAGCTGTGAAATTTCTTTGTGAGCTCACAGAAACTGAAGACTGCAGATGTATGTATATTTACTGAGAAGTAAGTTCTACAGAACTCAATGGAAATTTGGTGCTCAGTAAACCAGCAGTAGCATGGGATTATATTTGCTTTTCATCAAACATATTTTGATGAAAAATTATGAACAATCTCTAAGTAGGCTAACAAACTCTGAAGTAGGGATGCCAATCTCCAGGTGGGGACTGGGGATCCCCCAGAATTACATCTTATCTCCAGACTACAAAAATCAGTTCCTGTGGAGGAAATGGATGCTTTAGAGGGTGGACTCTGTGGCATTGTACCCCACCGAGGTCCCTTTCCCCCACAGGCTCCATCCCCAAATCTCCACGAGTTTCCCAGCCTGGATCTGGCAACCCTATTCCACCATCCCCCACCAGTTGTGACCAAGGCAACCCTACTCAGAAGGTGTATATGGTTTGGCATGAGAATAAATTTAAACACTCCATTGGCCTAGTACAAGCCCCATGCACGAGCCCAAGCAGCACATGAAACACCAGCCTTTATTTTCTTTGCTAATAAACAGAGATGTGTTTTTTTAATTTCTGGAAGTGATTTCTTTGTATACTTTTAGTTTTTCGCTCTGCAACTTTATTTCTCAGTAACTGAAACCCATCTCACCATTATGTGAGTACAAGTGAAGGACCCACAAGGACTTGCAAGAAGCATCTCATTTTCCCCTCCCCCATTTCCTCTTTCCATTTCCTGAAAGTCCCCATAGTCTCACTCTTTTTCCTGCTTCCTTCTCTTCTTCTAACCCACCAGCCAACCTACCTGAAAAGTACGCAGACAGAGAGTGATTTCAGCAAAGCGTACTTTATTCAGTCAGGAACAAGACGACTTTGGCCGGCTCGCAGGCCGGTTTATATTCCCCGAGAAACCGCCACCCAAAACACCCCCCACTTCCCTATAGGTTATTTACAGTGGCTGAGAGTCCATTGGCTCTCAGCCAGGAACGGTCCAGCCCCCTGATTGGAGCGGGCTAGGATCCGCATAGTCTATTGTCTCTTGGAGCGAAGCTCGACGTGTGTCTCTGGACTTGTCTGGACTTGTCTGGACTTGATACATTACACTACCTTTATCTGCTCCCATCTTCAGCTTCCCCTCCTTCCATCCCCTGGGCAGTCTCTACCCAGGAAAACTATGGCCCAGTTGTGCAGTGCCAGATATTGGGCTAGCAAGGGGACATGTCACTTTCATCTGGATCCCCCATCCCAACATTATTTCCTCCTTCCATTCCCCAGGCAGCCTCTATCCAGGAAAACTATGGTCCAGTTGCACAGTGCCAGATGCTGGGTTGACAGTGGGGTACAGCACTTTCCCACCCCCACACTAT